GATCTTACAGGAATTGTTAATAGATTGGAAAATAAACCTGGAACAGAAATCTTAGATATCAAGTTTATTAAAGCTACGCTTGGAGTCATTGGTCATGTTTTGTTACATTTTATAAATATCTCTCTACAATATGGGCCATTTTCTGAGCAACTGAAAACTAGCGTAATAGTACCTGTTCCCAAAGACAAAAATACTAAGAAGCGGGAGAATTCCGTCCAGTAAACACCTTACCAGGAATGGAGAAACTACTAGAAATGACTGTATGCGATCAGCTCCTAAGTTATGTTGAGGCCAATAATATTCTCATAAGTAATCAATCCGGTTTTAGGAAATATCATTCTTGTGAAACGGCTTCACAACTTACGATTATTAAATGGACTCAATCTATTGACAACGGAGTTGTAACAGTATTCTTAGACTTGAAATGAGCTTTTGAGAAAATTGACCGTAATATATTAAAATTGAAATACATTACTATATGGGTGTGATCAAAACAAAATTTCGACTTTACAAAAACTACAAAATCATGGAATGAAAGTCATATTAAAATGTAATCATTATACAAACATAAAGTTTATGCTCGACGCATTACAATGGTTATCAATACAAGAAAGGTTCTGTAGATCAGCAATGATATTTATTTTTAAGACTAATATTGATATGTTACCATCCTATTTTGATGAATTCATTACTTATCGTGATAGTACTCACAACTACGAGACAAGACAAAGTTATGTTTTTCACTTGCCAAGATGCAGATTAACCAGCTCAATGAAAATATTGTTTTATAAAGGTTTAAACCATTTTAATAACCTGCCAAGAGACATAAAACAAAGCGAAAATATTTATATATTTAAATCTAAACTAAACAACTATATTAAAACAAACAAAATTTTGTAGGAAAATATTCAATTATGCAGAATATCAGTAATTTCAAACCTTAACATTCATTATCATGAATCAGTATGTTTTAAATTGTTAGTATAGTCTTATCTAGGTGAGTTAACTTTGAATTTTGTTTCCTTTTCTATTTTATTTCTCAACATTGTTAGGTTACAGTATGACTCTAGTTATTAGTTATTATTATTGTTTACTGATTTATTATTATCATTATTGTATATTATTATTATTATTATTATATGTATATTTGGATTTCCTGAATAAACGTATTCATTCACCGATATTAAATGGCAAGGAAAACATTTTCATGGAAACCACTATCTTCTCAGCTTTGAATATTTGGAATCGTAACTGAAATTTGTTGATTGACATGTCTATATATTGTGCGTATTTTTGAGAAGTAGTAACGTTATTTTTTCTAAATGTGGAACATGAGACATATTATTCTGCAAAAGATGCTGTTCAAACAATTTTATTTTGCGCTTAACGCACTGAATTTTATCATACAAATGGTGAATAAACTGTCCGTTGCCTTGAAGATCCACATGCTAAGTCATGTCGATAGGAAACCCAAAATCACACATTCATTCTTCATTACCAAAATGCGGAAAGGCATATCCCTTCATATCCATAGCATTGCACCTCTACTAAGTATTACTGCGGTACTAAAAACCACATAGCCATATTCAGTTTCTAAATCTTTGCCGGTTGTAGTCCCTTGCATTGAAATCAGTGAACACAATTTTTTGGTAATATTGAATTTGGTGGCAATATCACGTGAAAATATAGCCAGTTGTGCTGTATTGCTAATATCGAACCTATTATCAAATGCCAAAGAATAGTATTCGTATTTTGAAATGCGTTCACGAAGCGCTGTTCTCGGACAAGTCTTCAATTCTCCTTGCAATGGTCAATCTCGATAAACCAATGTTTGAAATAATATTTATTTTATCAGGAAATGCTATTTCTGCAACAGCAGTTAGACGTTCTTTCATCATTTCTCCATCCGCAAAGGGTTTCATTTTCTTTTGCCAGTATTTTACTGACAACAAAACTAGCCTCTACTGCCCTATTCGATAAAATAGCTTGAAAATAGTATGTTGTTTTCCAAAGTTTTTCTTCAATTGAATAAACTTATCAATCCGGAGTTGTCCTGTTAAGTTTTTATATTGTTGTTCATGTTTTGTATCGTAAAGTCTTTTTATGTTATATTCTTTTAATGTCGACAGTCTATGAGCATATAAAGCATACAGCTTTGTCTTTACAAAAATGAAAAAATCAAATTTCCACTTTTGTTGAAAATGTCTGTGCTCATCCGCAACTTTCCGTTGTTTGTCAGTTTTATTGTATCATGTCCATACAGGACGAAACTGCAGTTATAATAGTTACAAATAAAAGAGGTAAAAAACATCAAAAGTTTTATTTTCCATTTTTAATTTTTTTTGTTCGCTTTTCCGACATACTATTATGGATTAAACACATCTGAAAGTTAAAAAAATTTGTAGAACAAATTAAATTTGAATAAAAATACTCTAATATTACCTTTTTGACAATAATATTGCACTCACACCTTTCAAGAAACACAATAATTTCTAAAATTGCTAACAAATTGTTAACAGCTCACCAGTCTGACTGATTGTGTAACAGAAGCAAACACAAACATGCACAGACGCAGCACCGACAAGTGTGTATCTCGTCACAAAAAATTGTTTCAGTTTAGTATGTATTACCATTTTATAATAATATATTGGTGGGAAAAAGTCGATAAAACAAATTCAATTTAGAAATGCTTGGCGGGCTGCATAAACATGTTTGACGGGCCTCAAGCGGCCCGTGGCCACGTGTTGCTCATGCATATTCTAGGAGTAGCTATACAATGAAATACTTTACTCTCAAAGATTGCCTATCAATAAGAAGCAATTGAATTACCCATCAAAAAGCCTAACAGACCACATACAGATACACAGTCTCATATGTAATTATTCAGTTCGAATATACATTGCTTGAATGATGTCTCTAACATGTCCCAATTGTAAACTTCTGGAAAAATACTAAATGCTAGATTACAATGCTACCCGGAACAAAATAACCTGATTATTCCTCAGCAAAGTGGTTTTCGTATGTATTGTTCGATCACAGATAACCTAGTAAATCTACAGTCAGATATCCATGGAGACTTTGCGAATAGAGGAAACTTATTGCAGTATTTTTTGATATAGATAGAGCCTTCAGAACTGTCTGGGGACGCAACATTCTCGATCAACTGGATCAATGGGAAATTCAAGGAAATGTGCTTGTTTACATATCGAATTTTCTCTCTAATAGATCTTTTTTGGTCAGAGTCAATGGGAAATTATCTGAAATTGAGAAAATGGCAGATGTGTTATTGATAGCAAACTGAAATGGGACAAGCACATCGTCCTACGGATTATGGAGCATCAATCAGATCCGAACTGGATTACGAATCCGTAACTCACTCTACGGCAAGTAAATCTCTTTTGAAGTTCCAATAGATGTCATTCAGAATGCGGCCATGTGAATTGCTATGGGAGCGTTCTGTACCAATCCTGTGGACATTTGAGCACTACCGCAATTCACAACTTCTTCTTTACGCCAGGATTTCCAAAATATCAAATAACCTAATACTTGATCAGAACATTTTCACTCTAAACATAAAGATACCTCTTCCATGGACAATACTCGTTTTTGATTGCGATACCTATCTGATACATTATCCCAAGAATGATACTCCTGCAAGAGCTTTTTCCGAAGTAGCCTCCAAATACAAGAACTATTCCCAAATATACATGGATGCATCTAAAACCAGTGAAAGTGTAGTAATCACAGACAATGCAACCTACAGACAATACAATACAAGATACAGAAGATAGTATCTATACGGGAGAACTATACGTCATAGTCAAAGTTCTGCCGTCGTCTTCACCGACTCACTGAGTGCTATGCATGGTATTCATCAGTTATACCCCAGAAATACCCCCTTTCTCTGCATTGAATTAGAATTAGAAAAACTGAAATGAGAAAATGTATCAAAATTGTTTGGGTTCCTTTGCATGTAAGAGTAGTTTGCAACGAAACTGCTGACACACTAGCTTGAAAGATTATCTCAAATCCTCATAGTCTACCGATTTGCTGTGTACCACATGAATATTTGATTCATAACATACGATAACTAAATACATGAAGGGAAAGGTGGCAAACTGAAGTTTCCAATATATATAAATATTGTACATCTAATATGATTCATATTGTACCACAACGCGCATAACCTTCGTAGTTGATGCGGTTGAATTATTAAAAAATAAATGATATATGAAGTCAATAAAATTTCACTTACATGAAACACTAATATCTTCAAAGGCAAAATAAGACACTTGTCTTATCACCTCATCAGCATCGTTCTGAATAACTTTACAAGATGAAGCACTCAGTTTATCCATAACATTTATGACATGAGTACGTACCTAAATACATGTTTTTGGAAACATCGGTTTTTGGCCTCCTACTTGTCTTGTAATTCTATTCAAATTATTCATATTCAAAAAGTCTTTCCGTATTACCTTACGCTTTCCGATGTTTGAAAATCACATGGTATAGAAGAAAATGAGATTATATAATTTTCTGAATTATTATTATTGTTATCGAAAATAATATATCTTCCATATCTCCCACTCGGAATTTTATCACTTGGAATCCAAACTAATCATCTCCTACTGCTACCAGGTCACAAATGTAAATATTCAGTTCGAATCTACATTGCTTGAAAGATGTCTCAAAATTCATAAATTTCAAAAATTCATTTAAAATGTTTGTAGATATAAATAACAAATCACAGTATACGCATTACTGGTTTCTAATAAGTCAATAAAACGATTCGTAATTTTGTAATGGGGCCCTACTAGCATATGAAATCGATGTCTCCATAATCGATATGAATAGTGAATTATTGAAGGCACACTGGTCATGTGACTACCTTCACACCGGATTGTTTGTATGGAATTCAAAGCCAGGAAACATTTCTATGAATTCATCAGTGTTTAATAGGCAAGCAACGAGCACTATGAGGGAACTTTTGCCAACAGGTCTCAACTTCAAGAAGTCAAACATAAGAATATGGATACACCAGAGGAATTTGACAAATTTGCAGCAAGTGATGTGGGAAGGACACGGGGGCAAGTTGTTGGTAGAGCACAGCAACAATCCTAAAATCAAGAAATTTTTGGAAGCCGTTCCGCATATTATGGTGAGTTTGATTATTGTATTTGAGGTAAATAGAGAATGAATTTAAATTTTCAAAAATGTTCTTAAAATATTTGAGTTGACTTTATAATTTTTGTCATTTCAAATTTACAGAGTTAATATATACATTACAAGTTGAATATGTGATGAACAATTTTTTCTATGCGAAGCAAGTGTTTTTGCACTCATCGCCATTTTTCTTTATTCAACTATTATTTTTATTATGTGGTGTGAAACCTTTCAAATGAAAGAATTCAGAATCTTTATAATTCCTTTTAGTAGAAAATAATTCAAGTTTGAGAGAATCGTTGACTATTTCATTTCATACTATTCAGCTATATTATTTCGAATATATTTTTTTCATCTATAAAATATCTCCCAATATATAGTTTTATAATAAAAACAATTCCAAAGGCTGATTCATCACACCCAAATAATCAACCTCATTTTTTGGATACTTTTTTATAAACGGCTGTTACATATTTGCGATTGACAGTCTTCTATTATGTTCACGGAACACTATTTCATCAAGCTAGCCATGATGAAATACAAAGTAGTTGTGAAATTAAATCATATCGTAAGTCAAAGTATTGAGGCTCAATGCATATTACTTCAACCATATAGTTGAATATTTCGAAATAGATCTTCAGAGTCTGCAGATATCTCCGGTAACGAGGATACTTGATGTAATTGTTGACGATATTAATAAGAATTAAGTTAAAGTACTAGTACCATTTTCTTCTTTTATTGGGAATGAACATGCATAAAATTCTTAGGAAGAAAAACAAATTCCCAAATTTATTATTCTGATTTTCGAGAATATCAAGATTACTTGGATCTTCAATCAAGCGGGTGGCTTGCAGCCTCAGAGTATGCTCAAGAGCTGAGCTCCACAAAGTTGCTGAGGTGCTTATAAATTTCTTATCAAGAAGCTGTTTCTGCTATTCTATCACTGTGATAGTGCCAAAACACCATATCCGAATCATTTTGTCCAGATCTGACACAACAAAACTGTTGCCTGACTTTTTTAGTATTGATTCTGATTGGTTACTATCACTCCCAGCTAAAATTTTCTCCAGATCTCCACTAAGATATAAAATATTTCTTTATTTGCAAAAATGTGTTCTGCTGATGCCGTTATCTAAATGAAAAGAAGAAACAAACAGCGAAGCAATTTCAGGTAATTCCCAATAAGTCGTTGAACAACAAAAAGAAGATTGGCCAAATCAATAACTCAGGGGTTGATTGATCGACGGCTGATTATAAGAAATGGCTTTGAGTAAAATGAATATCCCCGAACAAAAACAACCCGGAGAGCTATAACACCAAAGTTTAATCAAACAAACACTGTCAGAGGCGTTGGGAATATTCAACGTACAATTATCATACCAAAATCACACTCAAGAGGCCAGGGTTCAGAAAGCTTGAACTGATCCTATCCACTAGTATGCTTTATCAATAAATTTCATTTCAACTCTTATAAATACTTTATGCTCTATTCATAAGTATCCATGACTATTTTGAACTACAAAATTATTTCTAATTGCCATTATGATTGTGAGTTTCAAGTCACTTTCAATCATATAAAGTGTCACTTTTCGAACTATTTTCTGATTCTTTCATTACATTCACCTATAGCGATGCCAGACTCAGAACTACTTCCCAAAGTTACAGTGGAGGGTATAAGTAGCAACTGAATCAACTTTGATTTCACTCTATCTGCGAATGTGGGAAAAGTCTTGATGGTAATATGTGAAAGTAGTAAGTGTTGTAACCTGTTTGGTGAAAATAATGAATAACCTATCTGAAATATGCAACCAACAACTGATTCCTTTCTGTGAGGGGTAACTATTACTGATATTGTTTTGTGATTTGTTGATTTATTCGTAATGTATTGGGTTTGGAATATAAATAACGCTGATGATATCTTTTGTAAAGGGAATTCGAATTCATGAGCATGATAATCTTCAAAATCTGTTCGATTCAACGGTTATGTCGAATACTTTTTGAAAATACGCGGTACATCTCCTGTAAAAAGCCAAACGAAATGTATTTTCGATTAATCTATGACATAACCAGCAATCTTATCATATAATATCGATCTCCAGGTGTCCTACCGCCCCTAAGAGAAATAACAGTCATTAATATCATTTGGAATTTTCCTTCATGGGATCACAAATGAAAACATTTAAAAATGCAATCATTCATTCGATATTGTTGGTTATGTAAATTCGAGTTGTCTCTTCTGATCGTTATTGGGGAAAAAAAAGTTATTCAAAATACTCGTATATGGTAATTACATATTTTAAATAATGTATCCACGATTTTTTTCTAACACACGGAAGTCTTTATTATGGATAATGAATTCAAGAATAAACTAAAAACTGTTTTCGAACTACATATTTCGGGTATGAGGTTTATAAATTATCACATCCCAAAATTATTTTTTTTATTCGAATTCTGCTATATAACATTCTTTGTTTTTTTCTCTCGGTGGGCAAGTAATTGTACCAAAATTCTATATTTTCAAAAAGAGCGGGCAAAATGACACATTGATTTCCCAAGTGTCCAAGGCATATTTATTGAAATCATCTCTTTGAATATTCATTTATTCATTCATTTTCAAACAGGTGAAAACCTCATTACATGAAAATAATTATTCTTATAAAAATGTCAATACAGTCTGAATCATAAATAGAATTCTAATATTTAAACGCGAATACAGTTACATTGTACTTATCTACGAATAGTTACTATATAAAGCGAAATGGAAGGAAAAAACATAAAGTTATTCTAAACTTGAAAAATATGTTTTTACACCACTGTAAACTTGTTTGGGAGGGTGAACAAAGTTGATATTTGACATTAACAGGAAGTTGTTTGTTATTTTGATCATTGTAATGATAGGTGAACAGTTATTTGTTGTACATATGGTACACCAAAGAATTGAATGAGTCTTGTTGTTCTTTAGGGAATTGTCTCTTTTAGTAAATATTTGAGATTGGGACAGTTATGATTTTTTCATATATTTTATAACCCATTAACACTATACTTGTCTGTCTCCTATTTTCTAGATTGGGTATTTTGAATTCATTTCGTCGTGCTACTGTTCTAATTGTATTATAATCCGGGCGTACTTTTTGAAACATAAATATGTTTTGAAATTTTTATAATCTATTTTCATGAACAAATTATGGAGCCCCATATTCAAGTTTAGGTCTAACTGTGATTTGTACGAGAGTGTGGAGTTATAGTATATAGTATACACCTAAAGCTATGACAGTCTCTTCTCTGGATAATTTAATACCATTCATTGAGTAATTGTATAGTGAATAAATATTACTGGAGTTTTTTCCCAACACCAAACCGTTATTTTAAAACCTCGACACGTGTTTCGATCACCCAGTGATCATCTTCAAGAGGAAGATCGAACTGTTGATGATGTTGGGAAAAAACTCCAGTAATGTTCATTACTACATCAAAGGTTCCAAATAGTGCCTCATAATTGTATAGTGTCTCATTTAGTTTTCGGATACATGGTATGTTTATGAGATATTTCTCAGTGGTTTTAGAATAAAGTTCATTCAGAGGACAAAATCCACGAAAACTTCGAATTGAATATGAACAAATTTCGAAATTCGATTACTTTTCCAATTAATGTTTGTTGTTGTTTTATAATTTCATGATTTGTATTTTGGAAGTGTTACCATTATATATAAAAATTATTTCTAAAATATTTTTTTTCATTTTCTTGCACAATTGCACCGAATATTCCCAATATGTGGTGTTTTGTGTTAGCTCCTCTGATCTATCACCTCTGAATGATAATTCGTCATGAACGTGGAAAATCTTAATACGAGAATAGTCTAACGTGGTATGGTTCAGTTATGATTTCGAAACATTCACTAAAATTGATAAATACATTTTTGAATACCTGAAATCATGGAAAGAACATATGATCAAAAATGCACGAAAATTCAAACAAGAAATGAAAATAGAAGAAGAAATGGAAAAACGAGAATAAAAAAGAAAAAAGAGGAAAAACAAGAAAGGGAGAGGAAAAGAAGTATAGGAAGAATAAGAAAGGAGACGAATAAAAAATACGAAAAACACTAAAGGGGAAAAAGATTAGAACAGGAAAGAAACAATTAATCCAAACGACATTGCAAATATAACTAGAGAAATTAGAAATGAAAGAAAATGTGGAAAGTACATAAAAACGGAGAAGAAAACAAAAATGGACATTTTTTGCAACAAACCCCCAAAAAAATTGTTTTCGCTTTTTGGTAGCCATCTGGCTTTCAAGTCATTTAACAGCCTCATGAGCTTCTTGCTTTTTTTTCATATTTTTATGACACCGATTTCAAGATTCTTGTTTTCTGAACAAATTTGCATAGGTCCATTGTTGGATATTTGTCATATTTATCTGTACATATTTTGGGTTATCCATGAATTGTTTGCCTGTTGTGATCGAAAGCCCTGCATTGCATAAAACATGACGAACTCTCTCTGTCTCTGTCTTTTGCATTGTCTACAGCTGAAGTCACTGTTATGTGATCTCAATGGATATTATCTAGTACGTAGCTATATGTTATTTTTCTAAGCTGAAGTGAAGCAGATCTTCAGTTCTTTTTCCTTTATAAAAGCTTCATCGTGTGTGTTCCCTAATTTTTCTTGTATGCCCAGTAGCCACTTCTCAATCTAGTTCCGAATCGAAAATTTTGTTACCTCTTCAGATGAAGTTGATGATCCGTGTCTGTCATACTCATCAGTATTGAGTCAATTTATTCATTCACATCAGTTTTCTCAGTTTTTCACTATATTCCCAGACCAGTTTTGATGTCACTTTTCAGTTCATCAGTGCCCCAAATTCAGCCACTTCACAAAATTGGTTAGGTTAACTCAGAAAAGTATGATCAAGGTATCATTCGTTTCGTAATTTTACCCATAGTTATCCAAGATTTTTGTTAATAATTAAAAAGTTATGAACAAAAATAGGTTCAT